CAAACATGTAGAACACTAAATATATATGTAAATATTAATTAAATTTGATGGTAACAGAATATATTAGGGCGTACCAGATGTGGCCATTAAATACTTTGTAGCACTACTTAGTAGTGGTACTTCAGAGATTATATTTCCATGTAAAGGTAAGGCTTTAAAGAATGTAAGAAAGAAACAATAGAAGGAAGTGCAATCTTTGTACTTCTAATGCTGAGATTATACTTAAGTGCAAGCAATTACTCAACTTTTGTATTTTTCGTACAAAGTTTTTTTATATATTTTTATTTTTTTGTATATTGTATTGTATACTACGTTTCATAAAAAAAACCTAAAAATATCTTGATTTTTAGGCATTATAAATATTATTACATAAATTACGCTTTAAGTTGTGACTTGTAACAACATTAATACTCAGTAGACGTACAGGACAACTAAAGAGAACAATAATAATATTCGAATTTAGCCTTAGTGTAGTCTTAGTATAATGAATTACCTAAAGCGTTACGCCTACTCATGATATGAATGTTTATATAGGTCATACAAATGTTTTCTTTAGCTTTATAAGTGAATATTTGACTTTGCCTTTTGCCCACCAATGTACAATGTACACATCATCCTAAAATAAGAATAAGAAAAACCGGCCAAGTGCAAGTCGGACTCGCGCACGAAGGGTTCCGTATCATTATCTATAAAAACGGCAAAAAAATCATGTCTGTTGTATAGGAACCCCCTTAAATATTTATTTTATTCTGTTTTTTAGTATTTGTTGTTATAGCGGCAAGAGAAATACATACATCATCTGTGAAAATTTCAACTGTTTAACCATCACGGTTTTTCATGATTTACGGCCTTGTGACAGACAGACGGACAGCAGATTCAAAGTAATAGGGTCCCACTTTACCCTTTGGGTGCGGAACCCTAAAAACTAAATCTCATATGTTTCCCTTTTTTTAGTTTAACTAGTACCTAATTAAATTTAACGTTTATTTCAGCATTTTTTGAAATTCATCGGGTTGAAATGTTTATATGGAACCTAAATTTTTAGAGATTTTTTGTACTTTTAGCGCCAGCGAAGCCGCGGGTTCTGCTAGTAATTTCATAAAAATATTGTAAAAAAAAATAACAAACTTATGACTCTATAAATTTAGCTGTAACCGGATGTAGTTTGAATCAATAAAACGTTAAAACACTTAATAGAACCTAGTCGCGTAACTTCTTATAGTCATATTATCATTATTTTACCTTTATCTATAAAATGAATAGGCAAAGACAAAATAGTTAAATATTTTTGTCTCTTCTGTTCTGTTCTGTTCTTCGTCTGTTGTCAACCGATTATTTATCATTCTTTTTATTAGTAGGTTGCTATTGTACCTACATACTTTCAATTAAATCAATAAAAAAATTATCATGATCGAATTTCGACTCCTGGGCGAATACTAGTTATTTATATAAAAAAGTAACCATAATATGAGTTTAATGTTAGGTATACCGCATATATTTAATATTACTCGTATAAAGAGACAGAGTTTGTTTGTTTGAACGCACTAATCTCAGGAACTCCTCATCCGATTTGAAAACTTCTTTTTGCATTAGATAGCCCATTTATTGAGGAAGGCTATACGCTATATACCATCATGCTACTACCCAAGGAAGCGGAGCAGTAATCATGTCAACAAATCAGGCGGACTTCCATACATTATTGTAAAATCAATGTTTATAATCAAACAAATTTAACTCGGGTGAAACCGCGGGGCATAGCTAGTAGAAAATACAGGTCACTAAGTGGTAATAATTGCTGGAGTAGCGATTAACAAATAACGAAATAACTATTTGTTCGTCCACTTCCCACCCTGTCTTGCGTGGTACCTAGCAATTTATCCACGATTGTATCAGACATCTCAGCTACCGTTCCCGGAGGCATACAACCGTGCTATTATATACTATCTGACATGCCTTATTCTGTTCTCAATTTATAATCGACTTATCTTGACTACTTGTTGACTTCGGGGCGAAAAATAAACGAGTGTGAATAAATTTTATTATTTAATACGATTAACACGTTATTGCACTTATAAAATATAATGTTGATGAATCTTTACGATGTTCAAAGACAAATATGAGGTATATATAATATGATCTAAAATTTCTAAACTTTATAAAGATTGTGGGCGGATTGTTGTTTACACTGACACGTTAGTTGATAACAACATTATAATCTGTTAGTAATGGCAGAAAAATAAAATAAAAAATACTGTTTGAAGCATCTGTAGAAAGCTTATTTTTTAACGTTGGTAAATGCATTTACGAATACCACCTACATACATACAGGTTACGTGAGACTCTCTGGCCCGAGAAACCAGTGCTACCCATTAAAACCCAACAGGACCTCCCCTGTCTAAATGGGACGTCGCCTACAGAAAAGACCTATAGAATGCCTGACCTACCCATAATAATAATCAATATTTATTGTATATATTGTAATTTATATACCTATGTATATAAATATAAAAGCATTCACGTAAAAAAACTTTATTGGCATTCTTTAAATGAATTTTGGTACGTAATTATTATTTAAGTAACCGTAAAATTTCGGTAACACAACAAAGAAATCATTAAAGAAAAATATAATTATATCTATTATATATATAGGCAAAGCTTGAAAATCATAAAAATACAAGAGCGACCATAAAATTTAGACCCCGACAATAAAATATGACTTTTAAAATTTTAGATCATAGCCTATTCAGTGTCTAGCGGTTTCTTTTGATGGCTTGAGGGGTTTTATTATTTCTAGCGCGTCCTTCACGAACGAAGTAAAGAGGCATAAAGCTCTTTGTGAAGTCGAGACTGAGGTCCGTTTGTCGGCACGTGGTATTGGCAAACGTTTTACTTGAAAAGGATTTTAATTTTTACAACATTCTCAGAATTCATCTGGTAAGTCTAGTGTAGAACCAAAAAAAAACACTTCAACTTTATTTAACTACTTCGTGGTTAATAAAGAATGAATATGGTATGAAAGGAGTAATTTACTTCACTATAGAAATTCTACTCACACAACTATGCTTCTTTGAGTTTTGACTTTCAAACAAATATAATATAGATATTTTCGTTATCTGCAATAGTTACTTTGCATATCTTTTATTCTACAGGTAGGTACATTATTTCTTATGGAACAAAGAAAACAATGAAACGGTGGCATTGCCATCATGCAGTAAGTATAATTTTTTTAATATACTTTAAATATAACAATTTTATAACAAACTAGCGACTCACCCTCGCGTCGGTCCACTCAGGTTCGTCCCTACTTACGTTTTAACATTTAGCATAGATTTCTCAGAGATGAGATATTTTACCGCAGTAAAAAGTATCCTATATGTTGACCCGGATAACCAGCTATCATTTTACGTAATTTCATCAAAATCCCTCCAGTGGTTTTTCCGTGTTGCGCTCACCGACAGGCAGACAGACAGACAAACAAACTGACAAAGAAAAATTCTAAAAACTATAGATTCGGCGTCTGTATCGATATATCTACGAGTTTTTCAATAAGATTTTCCAAAAAATATTTAATTTACAGATTCAGCTTAGTTACAATTTTATTATATGTATAGAAGATAAAATATTTCATATCAAAATCAGGTTATTTGTATTTACAATACTAACGTTATACATAGAAACCTAGGTATAAGAACTAGTAGGTAGTATACTATAGTATATTACGAATTTAAATAAGTATTTATTTATTTTATTTAACATAGTTCTATAAGTTTGAGGGTGGTCATAATCTAGTCATGATCTTTTCTATCCTTATTATTAGTACTAAGCATTTCAAGTATCCTGTCGTCTTCCTAACACTTGACAGTTAATACAAAAAGCAGACATTTCACGTCATTTGTCCCGTCACCTCCCCACAAATGTAATCTCTAGAGAAACAAGTGGCAAAAAATTGGCGCCGCATTATATTATCTCAGCCCTTGGGATTTGTAACTGTTTCAAGAGCATCTTTTTGTTTATCCTCTGCATTTGCACTCAATGGACGTACCTGCTTAGCACCGACTCTATTGTCTATTTACTTCTTAGAAACATATACACAAAACAGGCCACGAACACGTGTCATTTAAGCAGTTTTAAAGGCTATTGTTTTCTTTGAAGGGGCTTAAAAGATGCCGATGCGATAACTTTAATAATGTACAAAAACAAGTTACACTGTAGTTATGACTTTATGGCCGAAGTCCGTTAATTGTTAACACTTCATTTACTACTTAACAGGACTTTTATAGATGTTTATAAAGATAATACTTAAGAGAAAATTCGAAAGAATCTTGCTATCGGCAATATGTTGATAATATAAAAGGAAAAAACAGCGCGCACATGTACTCATTAGTCAGGCCTGGCATCTTGAGCTCAAATATTTGGCGATGCTAGCAAATCTCGGCGCCACTGAGATGACAGAGGTGCCGCAACCTTTATAAGTACCGACAAGGGACACTTAGCGACGGCAGCTAAAATAATATTTAAAGAGACGCCAAATGAACACAAATGACCATGAGATTAGGTATCCAAAATAAACTAATAGACGACTAACGGTTTAGAAACCAGTAACAGCTGCTGGTTCTTGTAAAATTGTTATCATATCAAAAATTAACATGAAAATCATATTAATTCAACGGTATTTAGACATTCACGAGAAAATGGCAGAATCTGTTATCTCTTTATAATATACCTATATATCTAATGGACTCTATTCATCTACCAACTTGGCGATACGTATTGTGACATTATAATTTCTATATGGAATAAGCTATTAATATATACCATCACAATATTTTACGATCCACACATCTTATTATGTATTACATCGTGAATTCGACGATGCCGATAACCTTTTAGACATTATTTAGGAAAATGACGCAATCTTACGTCAAAGTTTGTAAAAATTTCAATCGAGAAAGCTATCTTAGTCAGAGGTATTTATCGCGTGAGTAAAGAATGACGTCATAATGGCAATGCCGATTGTTGACGAGGCGCGAGCTGCGTCACACAACTGCCCTCGGGCGACCTCAGAAGTCGGATTAGTCGCCACCAGCAGCAAGAACCGGTCCGCCATGAATATTAACTCCGTCATGCGATCCGGAACCTTAGATGGTTATCATGCAGTGATTATCAGTAGGCAACGCTCAGTAATTCCAGTAGCAATATCAAAGATGTTAAATTACATCAGTAAATATTTCATTACAAATCATTAGCCTCATTGTATTATATAAATAAACTTATTATTATTAACCTTTTTAAAATCTAATCTAAATGCTGTATTTAAATTGGCAGTGTATAAAAAAACTATATTATAAACAGTTTACACAAAATTTATTATATTAAAACTATTATAGCCCATTTTCATAACTCTACATCAAATAAATTCAAACAATACACGGAATGATGTAAATGCGATCTAGAAACCGCGACCCGCGCACGCGCAGGCCATGAGTCACGAGACGCGTGGCAACCTCCGCGTATGTCCCTAATATCACGTACGCGCAGTTTCGCTGACACTTTACCCTACGCTATGTATACGTGACTTTAACTCTGATGACAATTGAGGAAAACCGCTTATTGTCGGTTTTATAAACAGTGTCTATTAAATGTGTCAACTTTACTTTAGAACAATGTTACGTTGGGCACTGCTTAGTTAACATTTACATAATTATAATATTATTATTATTTTTTATAGGTTCATACGAGTATATGCTGTCTGTCTTCTATTTAATAATCTTAAATAATAGATTCTTTATATGTATGTCTAAGCTATTGAAAATCTCTTCCATCTGTAAGTAAAAATGCTTTTAAATAACTTAAAATCGTTAATTAATATGCTATCAGAATGCGTTGTGGACATCCTGTGCAGCAAGTTAAACATGAACTCTAATTAAATCGGAAATGGTCATTAAGCATCCTATAAAAACAAATATAAACGACACATTAATATATAGCAAATCGTACATGTTGTGAGGTAAATTTTAATATGTTTTGTATAGAAGTTGATTAATGTAACATGACTTAGAAAAAACACCACACTGGATCTCATCTAGACGACAGTTACATAGAAGCGGTAGTGATTGATGTAGTCAGCCCTATATCTCGTTTATAAATGGAACATGCGAGATATCTTATCAGATACAATGACTACTTAATATCGGTGAGCAACTACTTGCGCGTGCGCCTAGTGACATCACAAACAAATAGTTTCTTTATAAGTGGGAAAATTCCTATAATTACTATCAAGTGCTAGTCAATTGTGGAATGAACAAGACCAATCGTTAACCCGAATGCGTTTTAGATAAGACGTGTCGCAAATAGACTTTAAATGGATTCATTCATTAAATGCTAATGATAAAAAGGAAAATTTAGCAAAATTTAATAATAAACGAAATATTTCCAATAACAATCTAAATCTATTCCATCGACCTTAAATCGTCGTGAATTTTGATGACATTTCGAGAAATCAGGAAATGGCACATATCGAGGCTGTTGACGTACCTACATATCTACAAGATTCCGTGTGAAAAGTTTTGTTGCGTCAATCATGATTAACATAATTTATGTTAAATGCAAGTAATTAAATGAATACCTTGCAACATTTATCATATACTTAAAAAGTATGAAATATATGGTTTTTTTTTTAATTTACTGTCTGTTAACATTATCCAAAAATAATATTACTTCTTAATCAAACTTTCTTACTCTCTGACGTAGAACCTACCGACCTGACGCACTTGCTTGACGCTTAATCGACATTTTTCCATCCATATATTAGAACAGTGGAATTTTTAGCCGTATTTAAATATCTTTGCATTAACCTAAACATTTTTTTATTGTATTCAATTAGGAAAATTTATTTACAGTTGATTTGTTTTTCAAATCTCAAACTATTTTACACATTTATAACATAAATATTAAATGTATGTATTTGAAAAATCATACCATACCAATTGTAGTAATTTTAGCAATATCAATTATAATAAAGATAAAAAAATGGATTTTGACATGGCACAATTTAATTGATATGAATCATAACTTTTATCAAAAAAAATACTTTACGTATTATAAGATTACAAACGTCATATGAGCGCGTGATTTTTGATCCTATTGTTTTTTTAAGAGTATCGTGTTTCTACGACGAGTCCTGTTAAGACTAGATTCTTCATCAAATGGACGTAGGTATTTGTCATTTTTATAGTTTACTAGCGGCTCACCCTCGCTTCGCTCGGGTTCGTCGCTAGGTACGTTTTAAATAGATATAAAAAGAAAAAATCTTTCTTTCTCACATTTTAATTATATGTTTTAATACTTACCTATTCCGGACTAAGAGAAATCCAAAAATTAAAATATCATAAAAATTGGAACGCGGTCGAACGGGATAAAAAGTATCCTATGTCCTTCTCCTGGCTCTAAACTACCTCCCTGCCAATTTTCAGCTAAATCGGTTCAGCCGTTCTTGAGTTATAAGCGAAGTAACTAACACGACTTTCTTTTATATATATAGATTTATAATAAAAAACTGCTTTCAGGAAGTAGGTACCTATCTGATCTCCTTAACCTTTTTAACCCAGGAGTCATGTAAATAAATAATTATGCACATTTAACAAACTCAACTTTACATACAATGGAAAAACACAAAAAGCAAAATAGAGAAATTTTTGTAAGAATGTCGATGTAACGCATATAGTGATTGATATACGATTACCTCTAATTACTATCATTTCTAAGTACGGTCATGGTCACATTGATGCACGTATTGATCCATACAAGTAATAATTTTAGTATAATAACCTTATATATCTACATATGTATGTATATATGTATACGTAAGACGGTTTTTGGAGAAAGTAGATATGTGATAATTCAAGATAAGTTGTACGTAGGACGTGTCAGTACAAATCGTTGGACAGTTTCTCAGCACCGGCTATAGCGTGGGTGACCGCCCACTCGCGCCTGAGTAATGCGTCCATCCCGGGAACTGCTACCGGCGTCCGCGCCACACTCACATCAACACTTTAATTTTTAGCATCACCCACACAATTGCATCTTCGCGAAACGCATTCTTAATACCGATAACTGCTCTCCACCGAGCTCCTTGGCCATTAACGGATATTCTTATTGGGTCGTAATGCAACATCATCTGTAATTCTATCTGTCAATAATTATTACTCCGCATAATCCATGATTGATGAACGCCAACAGTAGCAAGTTATAATTGACGCAGACCATTGTGTGCGGCGCCCGTCGGTTGATCGATCGACTTGCGGCACCAATCTCGTGTTGCGACATGCACTGATGTACTACATATTATAAACCGCCACTCTTAATTAAACGCAGATTTAATTGAACACGTAGTTATGAAATAAAATCCCTGATATAGCATTGTGAGAATCAATAAATTGTGAATAACATGATAGCCGTCACTAATCATGATAAACGGCTTCACTACGAAATATTCAAATTTTAGTAATTTTGCATCTACCTATACATCATATCCATTATTTTTTAAATGGAATTACTATTATGAAGTACTTTTAAAGAGCTATGATTCTACATAGAGCCGCAGGTCGCCCACGCTTGTTATCTACAGCAATGTGAGGATTACGTAAGACTGAGATGATTTTTGGATAGGAAACAAAACATTGTTTAATAGATCCATGGGAGTGAGAGCAATGAGCAACAATTACCGGGGCCAGGCGTCGCGGCGTGCGCTCGCGCCGGCGATTGTTTACGGCGAGCACGCGCGATGCGGCGCGTGTCCCCCCGCGCCCCGGCGGCAGCTGCTCCGCACAGGTGGCGCGTGTGGGAACTCGACGGCTCTGCGCGTTCCCACGATCGCGCGCCCTCAGCTCCCTATATAAGCCCCCGCTCTACCGTCTCGCCACATTCCGCGTTCAACGCTCAGCGCTAACGCACGCTAACTACTCACTCACACACAAATGTCTACCATGTCTTACGATCTCGCGTATCCACTCACGGACGACGGTCCGCAGCCCGTCTCGCGCACTTATCAATATCGCAAAGTGATGAAGCCGATGCTCGAGCGCAAAAGACGCGCTCGCATCAACCGTTGCCTCGATGAACTCAAGGAGCTGATGGTCAGCGCTCTGCAGTCAGAGGGCGAAAATGTCGCTAAATTGGAAAAAGCTGATATTTTGGAATTAACTGTTCGTCATCTTCACAAACTTCGCCGTCAACGTCGTCTATCCCTGAACCCTTCAGTGGATGCCGACCGCTTCCGTGCTGGATTTACTCATGCTGCCAACGAAGTTTCTCGGTGCTTGGCTTCTATCCCTGGAGTGGATGTGAGGCTCGGCACACAGCTGATGACCCACCTCGGACACAGACTAAATGATATTCAGCGCGCAGCCGCCGGCAGTGACACACCTCCAGCCAGCCCTCCCAGCCCAGCACTCTCGACTGTGTCCTCCTCATCTGGCTATGTGACTCCATCACCACCCGCCTCGCCGGTCCCAGTGCACACTGCCGTGCCCCTGGACTGTAGCACGAACAGCTTCCCCAAGACCTTGCCAGTGTGGCGGCCGTGGTAAACAGCGGTGCTCGGAGCGGGCGGACCCGGCTCCGCGGTTACATCTGTTCCAACACCGCTCGGAGTCGCACGCCCCTTCAAGTGTCCGCCCTCATCCATGTTGAAGTGTTATCAAGAAAAATTTTAGATCTCACAATTTATTAGTGTAGGTTTAAAAACGTAGTTTGTAAGTTTAAACCGAAAGCTTTAATCAAAGTAGTTGTTAAGTATATTTGTGATATTAAAGAATAATATTATTGTAAAGAGATATCGAGCCTTGCCGACTTTGAGTGGGTTCTATTTGTTATTATATTGTCGTTAAAAAGATTTCACACATTTGTGAACAAATACAAAAGAATAATTTAATAAAACATTATTATTATAATACTTATTTCTGCATTTTATTCTACGATCCCCTTATTTACAACATAAGCATTATTGTGCAAAATTAAGTTTAATAAAATTTCAATAAATATAATGAACTCAATATTTGCAATCAGTGGAAAAAAGTATTGTTATTATGTAATAACTGTAAATAAAGAGATAAATAGTAATAGATAAAAAGTTTATATGCTAAAGTGAACCGCTAGTATAAGAATAGTTAAGTATACAAACAATACAAAGTGGACGTGATAAAATATTAAAGAGGTTAAGGGCGCGGACCTCTGACACTGTAGCCTTTGCGCCTCCGCGCGTGCTCAGTAACTTTCCTGTTTACTGTCTACACTATACATGATCAAGTACACTGTTTAGTGTATAGGCGCTACGAAATCTTTGTTGGAAAATTTAATAACATTAATAAATTGTTTTCCTTAACATATATGTAAATCTTTAAGGTCATACAAAAATCCCATATAAAAAGCAACTTAGTGCCTTCCTAATTTCCCAATCTGTCAGGATCTTTGTTTTTTTGCACTAAAAAGTTTATTCGATTAGGCATATTTTAAAAACAAAAGAATCCAAATCGATTTCGCCGTTCAAGTGATGGGCTTACCAATAAATGGCGTTTCATAGGTCAGAGATATTATTAAGTATTTTTATTACTTTAAGTTATATTTTGAGTTGCGAACCTGATCTAAATTTTTTAACTATTAGGTACTTCAAAATAATAAAAATATTAAAGTAATAATCTAAGTTACATTACATCGGTCTTAGCTAATGCTCATTCAAATGTACACCGGTATCGTAATGAAAAAGTTATCTACTTATTTATATTGATAGAACAACTAACGTGTTAAGCAATTATTTTAATTAGTGCGCTAGTTTAATGAATTCTAGATTTTTGCTGTTGAATATTTAACACTGGCGGAAAAGCACAAACAGACCTATCCCACGGGAGCAGTTCATTTTTCGGGGATAAGTAACCTATTGTTTGACCGGCAATATACCCTATATTCATCAGCATGCCAAATACTAAATTAGGTGCATAAGTTGTTGTGTACTAAGCTACTATATTCTTTTAACTATCCCACGAGAACTCTTCAATTTTCCGGGATGAAAATTATTTAAAATGTTGACCGGTGATATAAGGCACCACCATGCTAAATTTCATTTAAATCGGTGCTTAAATTTCATTTAAGCGGTAAAACAGTTTCAGAGATTAGCCCGTACAAACTAACAGACAGAGAAAAATTAAAAAAAAAATCTGGATATTTTCTATTTCTCTTCTTATATCCCTGACTCGGTTTTAGCATTTTTTTTCTACGTACAGACATTCGACCTCTATAGTTTTATTATATGTATAGATAATGAATTCATAGATAAATTTTTAGTTTTGCAAAAAAACTTGTACGACACAAGTTACACGCAGGTACATAGTGCCTACTTATCATATCAAGTATAGAAATTTGCATGCATTTATTAACATAATTAAACGCGATCCTTGATTATTATAATTTAAAAATAAATTAAAATGAAAAAAATGTTTACCAACTGTTTCGAATAACATTTAAATTTCGTTTTAAACACTTTAAACACAGATATAGTATGTAGAAATAATTAATAAATAAATAGACTATTTTGTGAAATATTTTTTAAGTATAAGTATAAAATTAATATTATGCAACTATGAGTACATACAAGTAAATTAAAAAAAAATAAATGGTAGCACATATTAAATGACTCAAAACGATGTGCCTAACGCCATCTATAGCTTAATAGGAGATATAAACTTTAAGCTATGAAAGTTAACTGTTTTCAGTGCCATCTTACGGAAAGCTTATGAACTACTAATGAGCTTTTAGACAGATCGATTACTAATAATTGCACGTGATGTCGTTTGATCTTCTTTTAAATGATATTTTAAGCTAATAATAATAATAAGTTGAAATTCACTAAATAATATATATTATAATATATATATATATATATATATATATATATATATATATATATATATATATATATATGTGTGTGTGTGTGTCTATTTTTATTGAGGTATTGGATTGAGGATTATTTGCTATCTAACATTAGAATGTGAGGGTAAAGTTAGGAGTGGAGCCAATATAATATGAATAAACTACGTGGGCGAAAGTACAGTAAAACCTAGTTTTACAAATACATAAAATATTCACACGCGTATTCCTAGCAATAGAACATATTATCTAGATGACTTATTTTATTTGTTATTTATTTATTTATTTAAGCAAATTGTGCAAAAAGTGTCTAAGTATCGTATACAGTATAAAATTTTCGCATTAAATCTGTTAGGTACCTGCTACACAGTCGGTAATAATATTATTAATTATTATATTAGGTACTCAATATAATGTAATAAGATGTACATATGTATGCGCCACAACGGTTATCGTGATGAATTTAATAATGTATATTAAAATAACACTTATGTACAATATGATAAAATTGAATTGTAATTGTTATGTAATATCTACCAAGAATCGCATAAATCTAGATATGTATATAAGTACATATAAAAAATTATATATTGGTGCATTTTTAATGTAAAATAAATTTACTCAATGATGTTGAACTATTTCTGCTTTTCAGGCTATTTCCAAAAAAAAGTATATAAGGCCGGTCCATCTTGCGTCACACTTTCTTATCACCACGTTCTCGTGACAACTGGTGTATGACAGATAAAAACATTCAACTATTCAGAAAATTGAACTTATGACTTTCTGCCAAAGTAAGGCAGTGCCAACCAAACACTTTAATACCTATATATTTACTTGTATATATCAATACAGTGGTTTTTTCCCGCACTTCGTTTCCATGATACACCAATGAAAATGTTGCTCATAAAATCATATATCATAAAAACTTAAATATACGTACATGAATGACATTAATACGAGAATTTTCGACATATCTGTACAAACTGACTTCATAAAAACATAGACAAGAGGAGTTAATCAGGTACACTAGAGAGGTCACCGATCACATGCTAATAGCCACTGATCCCAGGGGTAAGCGATAAGATAGAGCGCGCTGAGTCGGGACTCTTTCCTATTGCATCATCACTCTGATATGAACAAGGTATGTAAGATTAATAATTAATTTAATATTTTATGTACACTAATTTTAATTCTACTTATATAATAATTGCTGGATAATTTTAGTTATGTATTTGGAAAACTATATGTAAATTTCGTATTTATTTAATAATACTTAACTTACATAAATTTTTATACTCTCTTTTTTATATATTACTAGCGATTCGTCCTTAGTTAGGTTTTAACGTTTAGTATAAATTTCTCAGAGATGAGATATATTCCCGCAGTAAAAAGTATCCTATATGTTGACCCGCATAATCAGCTATCATCGTACCAAATTTCATCAAAATCCCTCGAGTGGTTTTTCCGTGATGCGGTCATAGACAAACAGACAGACATACAAAAATTCTAAAAACTATAGATTCGGCCTCTGTATCGATAATAAATAATAATGTATATTTTAATAAGATTTTCCAAAAAATATTTAACGTACAGATTCGGTTTAGTTACAATTTTATTACATGTATAGAAATATTTAATAATATTTTTTGACTTTCAAAATCATTATAAATAATTCCAAAATTGAAACTTTACTAAGTCTTACACGAGAAAATTCAAAGTACAAAAGTTTTGGTAACATTATGAATACACAGATAAAACTCTTCTAGAAAATAACGTCAGCATAAAATAAAGTCAAGGCTGATTTGAATAATAACTTAACAACTGAACTGACTTTAAAATAATGTCAACAAAAATAGGATTAGAATGTTTTAAAATAACATTTAAGCGAACTATTTTTTGTAATAGGTATATTCTATGAAATTTGTTTTTGTATTTTATAATCTCATCTCATCTCACGTAACAAATAGATACTGTATATATATATATAGAGTACTTAAAACTTATATATAGAGTACTTAAAAATCTATCATAGAATATAGCCTACTGCTAATCATAATACAAAAATAAATAATTTCTTTTAAAACAGAGATACTACCTCCGCTGACTTTTCTGTCAAGATTTTGTATATTTGTATAGCCAATTGGCATGTCATTACTCCATTTCATAATTATTGAACTAAGAGAGACTAGGACCTAAAGATATGTATATGGACGCCCAAGGCATTTAAAACTACCTCACGGTAAGCAGTTATTTATTTATTTAATCCTTTATCTTACCAAAAATAAAAATACAATATAAATGAATATATAACTTTTCAAATATCAGTGTAAAGGCGGCCTTATCACTAAAGTGATCTCTTCCAGGCAACCTATATTATAAAAAAACTCATAGGGTTATGTGATATTTTACCAAATTAAACATGTCTTGATCAATCTTTAATGTAATATATAGGCATGTACGTAAACTTACATGTTCTGACGTACTTATCATAGCCTAAACTACACGAAAATGCTGACAGAATAACATAAATAGATAGATAGATTGCCATAGTAACATAGATAACTACTAAGAAACTAAGTTTCTGTACGAATAGTTTATTTTTATTATTATTATTTTCAACCGACTTCCTCAAAAAGGAGGAGGTTCTCAATTCGGCTGTATGTTT